TGGCACGGCCAGGGCCCTCAATATCGGCAAATCACGAGCAACTTTTAAATTTGGAGGGCACACAACAAAAGAGAATAATATTTGGCACAGATAACAATTCAATTTCTTTAATATCAATACCCGTAACGGTTCGGTCGAAAGCGGCATTCGTTTCGGTTGAGAAATGTTTATTTGTCCTCTACTACGCTCGGGAATCAAATTTCTAACACCGCGTCGCATTCGACCGGGGATACTTAGAGAAAAAAACGGCAACAAGGGGCTCTCGGTAACGGGCACCTTCTGCGTCGTAGTTCGAAATTTTCGGGATTATAACGGTGGAATCCAAGATTATTTTTCCTCTACGCGAGAGTTTTTGAACTTGAAATTTCCTGGCCCAAATTTGCCAGGAAGTTGGGCGGCAAATTTGTGACCCTTTCGGGGGTTCACTCTATACAATAAACTTTGCTTACAAAACTTTCTCTTACAACACTCTATCACAAACATTGGGCGCCAGCCACTCGCTGTGGCAATCGAAATTTAAAAGGGAAAGGGGGTAATTGTGGGCACCTTACAGGGGATGGGTTTCGGGCACTTACATCCGTACAATATTTCGCGGGGGAGTACGCAGGGAGGATCGTCTAGGGCTGGGAGAGATCTCAGGGTGGGAAAAAGGTTCTCAGGAAGTTCGTATACGTTACGTGTAGGATTATCGGAGACTAGAATGATAAGGGTTGGACAAGGGGCTTTGCAAAACGCAGAAATCGCTGAAGGCTCGGAACAATACGCGGACGCGAATGTACGCGGGCGAAGGTTGCCGTTGCCGGAACTCACACTTTACAATCGTAGTAAGTAAGGGGACTCACCAAACGGTGCACTCCGCACACTCGCCAACACACACTTGTTATAAATCTCTTTAACTTCGCCTCTATAAATCGCTCCCGAAATCGCTGTGCACTCATTCTCTCTATAACGCTAGCCTAGGGCTCAATGACGGCTCGTCGTCGCCGCTGCTACGGCGATCGGTGACCGGTGATCGGGGTCGATGGGGTTGGCGGATATCCTGCGGTGACGGGTGGGCTGAGGTCTTCGGGCTCGGCGACAGATGGCTCCGGGTGGGCGTTTTCGCAATCGTCGGGGCTGCTTCGTTTGGGTTTCCGAAGTCCCGCGTTGCTCCTTTTCCTTGGAAGGGTTAGGGGTCTGTTGCCGGCCTCGAAGCTCCTCTTGCAGGTGATCCTGGGTGTTTCTGTCCGTCGCCTCCATCGGCCCGACACCGGTGGGCAGGGAAAAGGGGTACGGTGAGGGAAGGGTTAAGGGTTATCTGTAGGTGGAAATATGAGGTGCGAGAAGCGCAGCGATTGTAACGGGGAGCACAGGTGTCACCACGTTACAATACTTAATAATAAAATATTTCAAAATTATTTTCATACGTTATTAAATGATTATTGTGTTACGTTGCGCGCGTGCGACGGCGCAACGTAAATTGATAAGAATACAAAATTGGAGATATAGGTAGTTAAATTTCAATGACTATTGGTTGGAATTCAACCCCTAATTCCTGCTTCCCTATTTTAGCGCGATGGTTGGTATCGCTGCCACCAGTCTCGAGCGTGTTAACGCTCTCGACAAATTAAAAGACGAAAGACAAAAATTGATAAGATGTTAAAGATTAAGATTATTAGCCTTTCGTTGGGTTCGTTCAACGCTTAGTCCCGTACGGGACCCTCCTTGAATCTGGGTATGTTGGTAGGCGTGTTTTAACTGAAACGTGTGAGGTGTGTTCGAAATAAATAGAAACTGTTTAACTAAATGAAACTGGTTTAATCGTGAATAGAAAATTCACGAATAGAAAATTCACGAAAATCAGATAATTGGTAACGGTGAATTGCCAGAATTGAGAGTTTAATAATTTAGAAATTCCGTTAATATAGAAAATACCAGTTTTGCAAAAATGTGAACAAATGTAAAGATGCTTAAAATTAATTAACAAAATATGATTGTATAAAGCGCTCTAATATCACAACTGAAACCGACGAGTATATTACCGGGCGCGTAAAAATGATTATAACAATTTCGCTTTCCAAATTTAACTATAAAATTGGCGGTTTCCGCCTGCGGTACACCCCAGCCTGAGAAATTCTCGTAACTCTCGAAAGAGCTGGACTAAGGTGCCCCTTAGATGATGGCAAGGAAATTGGAATTGCGAGATCAGTACAGAAATCAGTTGATACCTGGTACGGTGGAACGATCTGACCTGAGAAACTCTCGTAACCCCGAAGGGCTGGACCAGATCGCCCGTTTTGCCAATTGAATAAACGTCGTGATCGAAAAATGTAACTGAAACGACTTACCGTTATGCTGTACAATAAAATACAAGATAATGCGCTTGCTAAGATTCTGTGTATTCGCTTGATGATCTGGAACACCAAAGAAACGGTAAGATGTCGATCACTGCACTTGTCGCGGCGAGAACGAATTAAAATTTTATTAAAGCGGACGAGTACGTCGACGAGAGACAAACGAATATCGAATTACGATTAATATAAATTACAACGAATATAATTACGCGATATGAAGTTAGTACGAGAACTACGCGAGCAAACGATTTAAAATCAGAAAGAAGAGATAGAAATTTAGGTAGAAGGAAGATTTTACGTGCGCGTCTATGAGTCCTTATCCAGAATTCCGATTATTTTAACTCGCACGGCACTCTGCCTCGCTACGCGGAGGACTTTACCGCAGAGAAAATATCGCGAACTTCCAAATAACTCTGTCTCTCGGACACACGGGCTCCCGATCACGTACTTACGATTGATCGATCAAGAGTGACAAATTTCGTGCGCGATCGAAGGCTGAAGGGCCCGTCGCGCGAACATCGTCCTTGGAGGGGACGGTTTGGCGAATCGTAGCCCGTTTTCGGAAGTGTCGCGTGCCCGGTGATTGGCTAAGACGCGCGAGCTAGACGAAGATCTTTCATCCCCTTTCTTTGGTGTTCCTTCCTTCTCTCATTCGTCGCCATGATAGTTTCAACGGTTTTCAGAAACTACGCAGTATTTCTCTTCGTACATATAATTAGTTAACGGCATTTATTCGAGATATAACTATTAGTTTAGCTGGAATGCAATTTGAGATTGGATATTGAAATGTAGATTAAAATTGGAATATAGATGAAATCGAAGTATCGGGTCTGACAGGAAACCGTCATCCGTATATCGTGATCGAAATTATTCATCCCCGTTCGCTTTCGTAAGGGTTCTCAACTCTTACTTTCATTGTTTAAATCTGTTTCATCCATCCACTCTCTCATACCATTATTACAATCAGGTAACGATGATCCTTGTTGGACCGGCTGACGCTTTGTGCAACAGAGTGAGAAAGAGGTTTCTAACAAAAGAGTTATTACGATTTTCCCGCTTCTACTCAGTTACCAAGGAAAATTCCCGAAATGCGAAGCACTGGCTAACTGCGCAGCGCTGGTGTTATTGCTACGGCTCTCTCTCTCTCTCACTCGAGCTAACCCGAGTTTTGTGCGTATTAGCTTCTTATTACAATGGCTGGCGACGATAGTTTCAAGGAGGGTCACGTAAACTATTGAAAAGTAGAAAAATAGAAACGACCTTTCCTCGTGTACCTCGCATGAGAAATTCTCGTAACCCTCGAAAGAGCTTGACAAGATACACGATTCCAGGGTAGAGCAGGTAAAGAAGAGAAAGCGATAGAGGAAGTCAAAAATAGAAAAGAATTAAACTCAAACTCTTCCCTGTACATCCCTGCATGAGAGATTCTCGTAACCTCGAAAGGCTTGACAAGAATGTACAAGGTCGAGGAGGAATGAAAAGATTGGCGGAAAACCGAAACACCCGCCTATACGCCCCCTTACATGAGAAATTCTCGTAACCCAAAAGGGTTTGATAAGGGACGCAAGGCGGATAAATTTCAAATTCTCCGCCGGGACGTAACAATTGTATATTCTTATATAATTAATAATTTCAAAAAAAAATTGTTTTATGACAAAAAATAGAATTGTACATTCATGGAGCGTGAACTCGAGACAAAAAAGTTTCCAGCGGTTCCATAGTCGGACACCTTACCGACTTACCCATCGGCGACGTTGAAAAAGTTTCTAATATTTTAGAGGATAAGGTGCGTAATTTTCAATTATTTACAATAATTTCACTCTCTCCATTCAGGAAATGTAAAAATTGAAAGGATTTCTCATGTTATCGCACGAAATATGTCGAAAATATCGGTTTTTGATTTTTTTCGGTTTGACGCACCAGAATGAAAAATCTGAAAAAAATTGAGGACACCAGTCATGCTAATATCTAACTACTGTAAAAGTAAATCTAGTGTCTCGAAAGCTTCTACCCGAAATCTCAATTTTTCGTCTTTTTTTTGTGTTTTTGATTTTTCACGCCTAGGATTTGCGACCGAAAAATCTGAGGAAATTCACAATCATAAAGAAACATGGCTAGAATATTCTAGAATTTTTTCGGATTTTTTGAATGCCATTAAATAGGGAAAATATGGCAAAAACCATTTTTTCTTTCTCACCCTGTAACTACCCTCCCAGTTGAGATACAGGGTTGAAACTTGGTGCACCATGGTTTTTTGGGATATGCTATCGAATGGTGCATTGCGAAGCAAATTCGGCTCAAGGGCACTTTTGACCATCTTATCCTGCTATACCCTTTGTTAAAAAATTTTTAGTAAAATTACCGAAAGATCGCGCTGAAGAGCAGGTCCTGCCAAAAGGAAGTCGTTCAATCACTGCCCGTTGCGGGTCTTTCGCGACACATCGAAAACCACCCGAATTTTCCATTTCAAGACGCAATTTTTCATACTTCCGTTTACAAACTTCAGAAGTGGGATTGTATCCAGTTTAAGATTGTTATGTGAATTATTGTGTGAATGAGATGTGTGACACATTCCGTTAAGTGAATACAAGTTTCCGTGAATTCAATGAACATAAAAAACCCTTCCGTGTGTAGATATTTAAGTAGACATTTAAGAAACAATTAATCATGGTGAATCCGAACGAATTCAAAGTTGTGCAGCTGAAGGATGCGTTGCAGAAAATGGGATTGCCTACAACAGGAACGAAGACGGAATTGTTAAACAGGCTTCAGGAAGCGGATCCAGAAGGTGCGTGGATGCAAAATCTGAATATGTTGCCTTCCGAAGATGCGACACAGCAAAACGCACCACAAGAGGCTGCGCCACCAACAGTCGAGAACCGTGAAGGTGACAGGCTGGCTTACGATTACCAATTTTTGTTAAGGGAAAGAGAATTGATGGAAAGAGAACTCAGAATAATGCAAAGAGAGAATGAACCACTACGAAATCCATCCCGATCGAGCAACAGTACGACTGACTCGAGAATTGGAATAAAAGCAGTGAGTGATGTGCTCAGTGATTTTGATGGCGTCAACGAGTTGTTCAGTAACTGAGAGAAACAAATAAAGTTGCTATGCGCGACGTACAATTTAGACGACAATGCCGCAAAAAGTTTGATTGGTACGCGCCTGAAAGGCCGCGCGCTCAAGTGGTTCCATTCTCGCCCTGAATACATTGAAATGGACACAACCGGATTGCTGCAGGAAATGAAGAAAATGTTCGATAGGCGGGAAAGTAAATTGACCTTACGCAAAAGATTTGAAGAGAGAATATGGAGGCCGAATGAGCCTTTTAGCATGTACTACCATGATAAGGTTGTTTTGGGCAATTATGTACCAATGAATGAAGACGAAATTATCGAATATCTCGTGGATGAATATCTCGACAGCGTTCGAGAGCATCACATTAACAGATGGTAAGCAGCGGTTCCAGCGAGAGACAGTTTCCGGAAGCAAGACGGAAGTACGAGAAAACAAACAGCAACCCCCTCAACCTCGAAGCGGTCCTGCCAAAGAAGAAAATACTCATCCGCAGAAGATCAGGTGTTATAACTGTAGTGGATATGGACACATGTCTAGAGACTGTAAGGAACCGCGACGAGAGTAGTTATGGTAAGATGGACCATAATCATACTCAATGTAAAATTAGATCAGATCCGAAAGAGATAGGTTGCGTAGATGGCACATTAAAATAAAATGATGAATTCCTAAAAACTGTTATTGTTGAAATAGGTGACTGGAGTACAGACAAAATTGCGATTGAACACGCGTATCGACACCGGTAGTCCAATTAGTTTTATAAAGAAAACCTTTGTTCCGCAGTGTTTGATCAATTGCACGAATGCTTCCGGTAAATCATTTTGTGGTCTTAATGGCAGCAAATAATTACGTTGGGAACAATAATCGTAAATATTCGACTTGATGGGATTTTGCAAGAGGGAATACTTTTGTATGTAGTGCCCGATAATACTATGTCAGCACCAGTAGTATTAAGTAGAGATTCGATGAAAAAGTTTGACATGAAATTGACAGTGTTAACAGATACCGCGGATGAAGCAATTTCGGAAATCCTAAATATTGATAGCAATGAAACTAGCAGTAGCATTACGGATGCTTTGATGATTAATACGGATATACCTCAGACTGATCAGCTGCGTTTCAAGAATCTTTTTACTTCAGAGTATTTGCAACCTGAACGTCCGGAATTGCCTAAAATTAAAACAGAATTGAAAATGGTCGTGAGAGATTTGAAACCATTCAGTTTTTCACCGCGTAGACTCTCGTATTCCGAACAAACTAGTTTGCGAAAAATTCTGGATAATTTGCTGGCAAAAGGAATAATTCGTGCAAGTGAATCGGAATACATTTTGCCTGTTGTATTAGTTAAGAAAAAGAACGGCGAGTGTTAAGTTCGTGGGTACTGCTGTACTGAACTTTAAATAATGTAGCAACTGCTTGCTTTGCCTTTCTTACGTTAAAATATATTTATTCAAGTCAGTTATAGTTTGATGTCTGATTCAATTCTGTCCTTATTTCTAAAAGCTCGTAGTTTAAGTAGTTTTCTTAAGCCCTCATTTGGGCGGTGACAAATTGCGAACTTATTCCTATTGGGTAGAATTTGTCTGGAAGGGGAAGTGTCGGTGGTCGTCTTCAGCTCATGGTAGTTCTTTGGAATTTTCCATCCTTGAGGAATTTTTGACCGTGGAAGTCATAAAAATGGGGAGCGTCTTGAACGGCGATCGAAAGTATAACGGGACAGGAAAGTGGTCAGAACGTGGACAATGCTATTGAAAAGGGTCGCGGGGGTAATTATGATTTTATGGTTATTAATGAAGGTTACGGGGTTTTCCGAATGAGGGTAGTATTACTAAACCTAAATTATCGCGAGTTATAAAAAAAAATATGTGTACTTAACTGCGAGTATAGGATGTGTGTAGATTATCGAGTGCTTAACAAACAGATTGCGAGGGATAATTATCCTATTCCTCTGATTGAAGACCAGTTGAACGTGCTTAGGGGAAACGTTTAGTTTACTCGATTTGAAAGACGGATTTTATCACAGATCGTTTGCAGAAGAATCTATTAAATAAACGCATTCATTACGCATTTTGGACAGTTCGAATTTGTGAAAATGCCGTTTGGCCTGAAACCAGCGCCGACGAAGTTCCAGCGATATATTAGCGAAGTATTCGATAAATTAGTTCGATTAGGTGACGTAATCGTGTACATCGATGATATACTTATCGCAAAGGCAACTTTAGATCACCACTTGAACACATTGAAGCGTGTATTCAAATTAATGGTTGAAAATAAGCTTGAGTTACGAATTGGTAAGTGTAGATTTTTGCTCACAAGGATTCAGTATTTCGGATATACAGTTACAGCAGAGAGAATTGGTCCTACAGATAGCGGTATTGAGGCAGTATTGAAATTTCCGGTGTCCAAAACCATGCGTAGCGTACAAAGTTTTATTGGTCTTTGCTCTTATTTCCGCAAATTCATTGAATGGTTTTCAACAATAGCTAAACCACTTTACGATTTACTGAAAAAAAACGTTGAGTTTAGATTTACGGAAGTCGAGTTGGATGCATTTGAGAAATTAAAGGCAAAATTAGTTACGGCGCCTATATTGTCAATTTACGATCCTCACGATCCAACTGAGCTTTATGGTGACGCAAGCTCACTGGGTTTCGGCGCGGTATTGATGCAGAAAAAGAGTGATCTGAAATTGCATCATATATTCTACTTTTCGAAGCGTACAACGGAAATCGAGAGTAAATATCATAGTTTCGAGCTTGAAACATTGGCAATTGTTTATGTACTTAAGCGATTCAGAATATATTTGCAAGGAATTCCGTTTAAGATAATTACCGATCGCAATTCGCTCAAATTAACGTTACAAAAAAAAGACACGAATCCTTGAATCGCGAGGTGGGCACTGGAATTGGCCAATTATGATTACAGCGTGGAGCATAGATCAGCTGATCGAATGAAACATGTCGGCGCTCTTAGTCGATCAATACCTATTTTAGTTGTGGAAGATAATTCTTTTGAGTACAAGCTGTCTGTTTGTCAATCGCAAAATAAAAAGATACAAGAGCTAGTTGGTAAATTGAGTAAACGCGAAGATGCATTATTCGAAATGAGAAATGGTCTCATATATAGGAAAAGAAACGCGGAATTACTGTTTTATGTGCCAGAAAATATGGAACCGAGTGTTATTTTTAAATATCATGATCAAATGGGTCATCTAGGCGTAGAAAAAACGGTTAGTACAATTTTAAAGAGTTATTGGTTTCCGAACATGCAACAGAAAATACAAGATCACATAAAAAAATTGTTTGAAATGCGTAGTTTATTCGCCGCCATCTGGAAAAAAAGAAGGTGTATTGCATATTATTCCTAAAGGGGATAGCCCATTCGTCACGCTGCATATAGACCATTTTGGCCCGGTTGATAAGCAATTTTTAATAAAAAGATATGTATTTCTAGTTGTAGACGCATTCAGCAAATTTGTAAAATTGTTTGCGATTAAGACAATCGCTGCTCGTGAGGCTGTAAATTGCTTAAAGGACTATTTTAATAAGTATAGCAGACTGCGATGTATTGTATCCGATCGCGGCGCGTGCTTTACGTCACAAGAGTTCAGTGACTTTTTAAGTGATCATAATGTTAAGCACGTATTGATAGCCACTGGTTCGCCACTGGCCAACGGTCAGGTTGAAAGAGTGAATCGTGTATTAACCCCTATGCTAAGTAAATTAACCGATAATGATAACGGACAATATTGGTATAAAGTGTTGTCAGATGTCGAATTTTGTATTAACAACACGGTATGTAAAAGTACAAGTGAGACGCCCAGTAGATTATTGTTTGGTGTGGAGCAGCGAGATCAGGTCGACGTAGAAATCAAGGAGTACGTTAATAGTACTGTTAGCAATAATGATAGAAATTTAGATGAAGTTCGAGGTAAGGCAGCCGACAAAATTACTGCATATCAGGAGTATAATACGAAATATTTTAACAAAAACCACAAGTAACCTCATAAATATCGCGAGGGCAATTACGTGATGTTGCTATTACGCCCCGGCGGAAAATTTGAAATTTATCCGCCTTGCGTCCCTTATCAAGCCTTTTGGGTTACGAGAGTATCTCATGTAAGGGGCGTACAGGCGGGTGTTTCGGTTTTCCGCCAATCTTTCCATTCCTCCTCGACCTTGTACATTCTTGTCAAGCCTTTCGAGGTTACGAGGATTTCTCATGCAGGGGTGTACAAGGAAGAGTTTGAGTTTAATTCTTTTCTATTTTTGACTTCTTTTATCGCTTTCTCTTCTTTACCTGCTCTACCCTGGAATCGTGTATCTTGTCAAGCCCTTCGGGGTTACGAGAATTTCTTATGCACGAGGAAAGGTCGTTTCTATTTCCTTCTTTTCAATAGTTTACGTGACCCTCCTTGAAAATATCGTCGCCAACCATAGTAATATAATACAGTAATACAGCGCACAAAAACTCGGGTTAGCTCGAGAGAGAGAGAGAGAGAGAGTGCTTCGAATTTCGGGAATTCCCTTGCTAACTGCGTAGAAACGGGAAAATCGTAATAATTCCTTTGTTAGAAAACTCTTTCTCTCTCTATTGCACAAAGCGTCAACCGGTCCAACAAGGATCATTATTACCTGATCGGAATGATAGTATGAAAGAGTGGATGGATGAATATGTATTTAAACGATGGAAGTAAGAAATGAGAACCCTTATGAAAGCGAATGTCGCGAACGTTCGACCGCTGTTTGAAAATCAAGAGTCGTTCGAAGCAATAAACACTATTGTATCGGAAATTCTAAGAACTGCCTAACGATAACGGCAAATTTTGAACAAAGGAACGTTCTCGAAGGAATGTTGGCCAGATTGATATTGTTTAAATTCATTAGAAAGCGAACTCAGCTAAACACGCCTACCAACTCATACAGATTCAAGGAGGGACCCGTACGGGACCAAGCGTTGAACGAACCCAACGAAAGGCTAATAATTATAACTTCTTAACATCTTATCAATTTTGT